CCTTCTTAACTTAGAATCAGGAACTTTTTCTTGATTTGTTTAGACATGGGTCTGTTCCTATCATAGGGAAACAGGATTTCATAAGCATTTCAAAATCATTACTTTCCTTCAGTTTTTAAAAATTCAGTTCCCACTGCTTACAATTTGATATGTAAGTTCCATATTCATAGATACTTTTATTGTAAAAATTTTATTATAGCCAATTGGGAATTTTAAAGAGAATTGTTATACAAATACTTTACAGTTAACTGTTGGACTAATGAAATGGTCTCTGTACAAACACAGTTTTTTACTCACAATATATGGCTAAATGTATAACTGTATACCTTTAAGGTAGGGACTATTTGAGAATAAAGTCATTAAAATTTTTTGGTCTGTCCCCAGGAAAATTTAATCAAACACAGGCTGCCTGGGAGTCTTCAGTAAGGGAGAGGAAGTGAGTCTACAGGATTCTCCAGTAAGAACAAGTTAAAAATCTCAGTAGATCACGTTTTGTTCTAGAACACCAGATATAGCTCTTAACACAAATTGCAAAACCATCACTACACATGAATGCCCACATAAAATAATACTTTTCATAGTGTCAACTTTTACAGGGGATATGGAGACCATCTGCTTTGAAGTGTCATCCAGAGTTCATGATAGCTACTTATACAAAAATGTAATATAATATTTAAATATTAAATATAATATTGAGGGGCTGGAAAGATACTTCCATGGTTAAGAGCACTGGCTGCTCTTGCAGAGGATCTGGGTTTGGTTCCTAGTAGCTAACAATGGTCCATAACTCCAGTTTCAGGGGCTCCAAATACCCTCTTCTGACCTCCATGGGCATTGCACAACATGGGCACACTTACGTACATGAAAACAATACATTCATACACACACACACACACACACACACACACACACACACAAATAATATCGAGAACTCATGCCTGGCACTATAAACCTAACCAAGAACCTGTGGCTGGAGAGGTCAAAGACCTCAGAGCACAACCTACTACTATCACTGTGCTGAACTGGTATAGTATACAACCCCTTCTACACATCTATCCTTATACCCATAGATAAGTGAGGCCCTTACCCTTCATCAAAGAAGCTTTTCTGCAGCAGACAGAGAGGATCCATGATTCATACATTTATTGACTATATCAGCATTTCTTCAGAAAATATTTCAACCAATTAGACCCAGTGATGTTCTGATCACTAATTAACTAGTTAGCTAACCAGTATCATTGGGAAATCAGTTTTAATATGAATCTTTGTTGTTTTATATCTAAATCCTTCTATTTTCCTCACAGAGCTCTTTCCTCGGGTCAGAGCTTGTTCTATAAGAAGTACAGATAAAAATGAACTTCTGGCCTCTCTACTCAATCACTGTCTTTGGACTTAGCCAGCTAAAGTATGCTCCACTGGCCGAGAGAGCAAGGCTGTGAAAGGTACAGGGGTGCGGTGACTTTTCCCCTGAATTAGTTGGAGAACACTTGTGTTTTCCTTGGCACAAAGAACACATGGGTAGTCTTTGGTGTGTACAGTGGTGTAAACATCACCCATGTATTTGCATAAAGTTTCGAAGCACTTAATACATGCGGTATGACAGCTGCTGTCACAATATATTTATGTAAGTTCTGCACAGGCTTTCTAAAATAAACTTACAAGTGTTTGTTTTTGTAAGGAGGGGTTTGTTTTGGGGGTGGGGATAATCATTTCATCTCACTATGGACAGTAGCACATGCTGACATGCTTCCTTTACCCATGCCACAAATAAGCTATGTTCCCTATTACTACATGAGGCAATACCAAGGATACAGTAGGCCACTGTGTTACCTTGTTCTTTCAAATACACTTTCTGTTAAAAAACAGAATTGAGAGGTACAGCAATAACCCTGTACCTAGAAGGAAGGATGAAACAAATGACTGTGACCTTTAGCACGTAGAACCCCTCTGGTTAATTGTCATACCCTCAGCTTGCCTGCCCATCTTTCCACATGAAAGATTTAGCCAGACACGGAAGACGTTGACAGTTTCCTACCAACGTATGCCAACATTTTCCCCCCTCTTTAAAGACACTAGGAGCTCTACTGGGTTCAATTTTTCATCCAGAATATGAATGCAGTTGATGTCAGTAATCTGTAGCACTTTCTAACATAACAGGTTAATGCAGTTCTCTGATGTAAGATATCTGTAACGGGGGCTGGAGAGGCAGTTCAGTGGTTCAGAGCACTGGCTTCTCTTGCAGAGGACCCAGATTCGAATTCCAGCACTCACATGGCAGTTAACAACCATCAACCATCAGTAACTCCAGTTTCGGGGTTATTCAATGCCCTCTTCTGACCTCCACTGGCATTGCATAACATGGGTGCACTTACATACATGCAAGCATAATACTCATACACATATTATAATGAAAAATAAATAACAAATAAAATTTTTAAGATATCTACAACAAAATGGGTAAGATTGGGTTTTAAAAAGTTAAATTGGTGCTTTTAATCACAGGACTTTTTTTACCCTTTAATGCAGTTGGACAGCCAATCAGGAGCACACAGGATGAATATACTCTGGTAAAATATGTGAACAAAATTTGGAAAATGCTGACCAGCTTCAACTTATTTTTCTGTTTATGCTATGGATTTATACCATCTACCATGCAGCCCATTTGCTTCATGTGGCCAATGACAGCCATGAACACAACCCAACATAAAATCATTAACTTACTTAAAAAATGATAAGGTTTTTGTGCCGTGATGTTTCTTTTTTGGTAATTCAATTACATGATTCTTGATTTGTAGATGACAATGTCATGTTGCAGTGTCAAAAGGTTAGACTCACTTGAAACAAGTACAGGGTCCTTCCTATTTGAAGACCACTTGATGGGAAATTTTAGTTAAATGTCCTTGTAAGCTGGTGGTGATGCTAGTTCATGCTTGTAGTCCTGTGATTCAAGGGAGCTAAGGTAGGACAGCTCTGAGTTCCAGCACAGCCAGTCTTAGAGAGACCTTGTCTCAGAAATAAGTAAATAAGTAACTTCATTGAGCAATGAAACTGAACAATTACCTACATTTTAAGCTTTTTTTCTTCTCTACAAATACTATATTAAATGGTAAGCTCCTGAAATTCAATTTAAAATTGGATGATACAGCTTGGCATGATGGTGCACACTTTTAGTCCCAGCACTCCGGAGGAACAGACAGGAAGATGTCTGTGAGTTCAAGGCCTGCCTGGTCTGCATAACAAGTTCCAGGCCTGACAGAATTATGTAATGAGACTGAATCTCAAAAAAATAAAAAAGTTAATCAAACAAAATTGCATGATACACATTCCAAAACTGACTTTTCAGGGCATGTTGTTTTGCTGTTACTGCTTTATATGAGGTTTTTGAATGGTACCACCAACTCAAGCTATCTCAAAATTCCCATTCTCTTTGTTTTTGTTTCCTTTAGGAACATTTTGAGTTTTTTCACAGCTTTTGAACACTTTACAAAAGAAAAAGACTTCTAAGCTTCAACGGAGTCTTTTGTAATTGTGCAAACCAAGTTGCCCTACCAATGCCTGACATATCTGGAATATTTATAAATGCTGTGGTGTGAAAACTCCACCTCCCACAGCCTCTGAAAACATAGATGTGTACCAATTCCCCAGAAAGATTATGTGGGCTATGTGGTTTCCGTGCCTTTAAAGGGGGCATTTGTAGGATATGCTGAAGGATATTTCAGCCTTGTCTTTTTCAGACTAGCCATGTTTGCCTTGAATCCCTGACTCTGGGAGGCCTGAAAAAGTGACACATTGTAAATCTGAAGCTCCCTTATAGAATCCTCAGAGGGTGGTAAGGCAGAAGCAAAGATCCATAGAAAAGCTGGTTTACCACATGTATTTCCCTCTGGGTGGGATGCTACAGGGCCACAGTAAGCTTGACCCTGGGCTGCCAAGTCAAAGGAACAGAGCAAACAGTATGTCCAGGTAAGAGCTGAGGAGATCAGGCAAAAACACCCCCTACCCCTCCACCCCAGTGGGAGCAATTAAAGGGAGCAATGTCAGGGAGCAGCTCCCTTCCCTGGGCAGCCCCTCCTTGTGCAGTGTTTTGAAGAAGCAGGGATAATAGCAGTATGAATTTCGTGGATTTCATACATCTAGCTACTTGTCCCTTGAAACTGAAATGTTTTAAAAAATTAATGTGAAAGGTTTGAGGTAGCTTCTCCATTAACTATTATTCATTTTACTTATGACCTTTAAATTTGGCTTAACATGTACAAATAATTTAGAGTCCAGAACTGTGCTTTTGTTCACAACCACATCCCAGGATGTATAACAGTGTATTTTTCTATGTGCAGTAGTTGAAATCTCATGAGTTTTCATAAATAACATTTTACTGCCCATTTAATATTGCAGTATAATGACAATATTCTTGATAATGAACTCTAAGTCACTAAGAAATAGTCATTTAGGTAAGAATTTTCCTAATCACTCAAGTTAATCACTCCCTCCTCGGCCTGGCTGCCACCTCTTCACATGGATTTAGCCAGATAGGAAAGACAAAAACAATGTGGCTTGCTGCCCAGCCTTCCCCTTATCACTTCCAGTGGCTGAGGCCCAGAGCGAGAGCCTCCTTCCAGTGCAATATGCATGGAGATGATGGCCAACAGAGATGGTTCATGGCTATTTCTAACACATGGAACCAAAGAATCTGAAAAGGCTAAGACAATTTGAAAAGCAATGGCTTTACAGCTATAAATGAATTCTAATCTGTGCCATCATGTAAGCAAAACATTAAGGAAAACAGTAATGTTTTGATCTCTGAATCCTTTTATGCATTCAAACTTACTGAACCTACCAGAGATCCTGACATTTGTTACATCTTTCTATTGTAGTACTGTGTAAGAGTTTAAAACTCAGAAATATATTAATTATATTTATTTCAAAATAGCAAAAATTTATCATGCTAGCACAAGCAATCCATTTAAAGGAACTTTATCTTCTGAAACCTCATTGATAAAGATGACACATTTTAGACTTTTAGAAGACTCTCTTGCTCTTCTTATTTGCTTCTTTTATTTACTATACTACGTGGCTTGGGGCATGGTATATAATGAAAATGTTATCTTACACTGATGTGTAGTTGGAAAATAGAGGAGGACTTTAACGGCCATTTTCACTATTCTTTGTACAGTTCCAAAATTCAACACTCCTAAGAGTTGGTTATAATATAAAATACAAAAGTACACCACTGAATCATTCTCTGTTACATCAAAATCTATTGCTCTGTCTTATTCTTTGAGTGCACGTTCCATCTCCATCCACAGGGGACTTGTTGGGTCATTTGGAAAGTACTGATTTAGAGAGATATAAAAAATGTTCATACATCTCATTATTAAATAAAGAAAATAAATCACATCTATTTCAGAAAATAGATGTAAATTGTGTGTATCCAGAAACGGCTTTGCATATCAGGAAGTTGTCAAAGTCACAACAGCAATATAATTTTTTTTTCCAAAATTCAAATTTTCAACTGAAAGTTCAAATTTCACCTCTACACAACAAACACTCGTCCACCTTGACATGACGTGCTTCTTTTTCCCTTTTAGTTCTGATAAGACATCTGACAAATGCTAAGTCTGGATAACTGTCTACTCATTCTTACAAGCAAAACATGAAATTCCATGAAAATAGCAGTTGGATAAGTTCTCAATTCAAATAAACCCATGAACATTTTTCTCATAGAAATCTACTATATTTCAGGACAGAGTTTTTGCAAAGCCATGAACATTTTTCTTATAGAAATCTACATTTCAGGACAGAGTTTTTGCAAACATTGTTAAAATGATAAGTAGCTAAGGGAATATTTATAAAAGCTAATAGCTTTTGATTTCATCAATGGCATTTTAAATTAATTTGTTTTTATTTTTATGTGTATGAGAGTTTTGCTTCCATGTATCTAAGCACACCATGTGCATGCAATGCCTACAGAGACCAAAGATGGCATTGAATCCCCTGGAATTGGAGTTTCAAATTGTTGTTAGTCATCATGTGGTTGCTGGAAACTCAACTTGGGTCTGCTGCAAGAGCAGGCAGTGCTCTTAACCACTGGATCATCTCTCCAGCACCATCAATGACATTTTTAAGTGAATGTGGC